ATGGAGCAGTTCCACTCTGTAACACAAAGGGTCATCATGTTGAGGGTCATTAGACAGCAACTAACAGCAGCAGCATGTGGTAGTAACACTCCTCTAAGCACTGAGCATCACTGAGTGAGAGTTGTGGTTGTTGTAAGGTGCTGTCAGTCATGTAAGACCCATAGTGACCCTTCAAACCACAGGTCTGAAACTAGTCCTATCCTGTGCCACCCTCAAAAACTCTGATACGCTCAAAGTCATTGCAGCAGTCAGTCCCTGTCCACTCACTTGACTGAGGGTCATCCCCTGTTTTCCTCACCCTCTACCTTTCCAAGCATGATGTCCCTCTCCAAGTAATAGCCTCTCCTAGCAACATGTCCAAAGTATGTGAGATGAAGCTTTATCATTTTTACCTCCAACAAACACTCTGGCTGCACTTTCTCCAAGACATATTTGTTTGTTCTTTTGACAGTCCTTGGGATATTCAGTACTCTTCTCCAACACCACAATTCAAAGGCATCAATTCTTCCTCTGGCACCTTTATTCACTGTCTAGTCCTCAGAGGCATAGCAAATGATTGAAAAGACCATTGCTCCTCAATATTTTGGAGAAGTCCTTGACAGCACATATTCCCAGTTTTCAATCTTTTCTCCATCTATCATGATGGTGCCTTTGGTCCAGTGGTGAGAATTTTTGTTTTCATGACATTTAAATGCAATCCATATTGAAGTCTGTCTTCTTCACTCTTCTGCAGCAAGTGCTTAAGTTCTCCTTACTTTTAGCAAGCAAGGTTATGTCATCTGCATACCAAGAGTTATTGATGAGTCTTAACTCCCATCCTGATGCCACATTCTTCTTCACAGAGCCCAGCTTCCTGAATGATTTGCTCAGCACACAGATTGAATATGTGTGGGGAAAGGGCACAACTCTGATGTACTCCTTTCCTTTTAAACCATACAGTGTTCCCTTGCTCTGTTCGCACAACAGCCTCTTGGCCTAGATATAGGTTTTGATATAGGCATTCCCACCCTGAAAGTAAAGAATATAAGAAGAATGTCTATTTTTTGTTTGTTTTATTGATTATGCAAAGGCATTTGACTGTGTGGATCATAACAAATTATGGCTGACATTGAGAAGAATGGGAATCCTGGAACTGAGCAAGAGGAGCCCCTGAAAGCAAATATTCATAATGCACGTGTATCGATTGAAGGCAGAAAGTGAAAAAAAAAAAAATCTTGGGTTGGGGGAAAGAATTTTCAGAAAAACAAGTAGGGGAAAAGTCTTAAAAAGTATAGATAGTCTCCTAGGTTATTATTCTGTTGCTGGTACGTGCCATTGATATAGTCTCCTAAGTTCTTATTCTGTTGCTGTTACGTGCCATCAAGCTGGAGTTGACTCCCTGCTGACCCTGTAAGTCCTCATTCCATGACTCATGACTCTAGTGCATGTTGAGGCACTGTCACATGGGAAGGGACTGCAGATCTTTCTCCCTTGGAGCAATTGGTGCATCCAAACCACCCGCCTTCAGTTTAGTATTGCAATTCCTTACCCACCAGGCCACCAGAGCTCCAATTATTGTTAGAACACAGAACATGGAGGATTTATGTTTGGTTTAACATAAATTTCACAAACTTATAAATACCAATATAGCCACATACTTCATAACACTCTCTCAGTTTAAACATGTATTTTTTTTAAATATGCTTAGAAATCTTTCACTAAATTTAAGTCTTTTGTATTTATTTAGGATACACTATCAATTCATATATTTTGAACAATCATTTTTATGAGCAGTTAGAGGGGCTTTCCCTTCTTGCTTTAAATGAGTTAAAAAATATCTTTCACAAAAAAAAATCTTTCACTGTTTGTAGTTTGATTTCTTTTGCCTTGCAGATATTTCTTTTTAGTTATACAACTTTATAATAGTATGAGGACTTGTAAAATAGGGGGAAAAGGATATTCTTACTCTAAGATAATAAAATAGCCTCCCATATTCCATTCTACTTTTTAAAAATTAAATCTTTGATATATTTTTAATTACCCTGTGGTAGGAATCTGAGGTAGATTCAATTTTTTTTAATTAGCTATTTGTTGTTGTTATGTGCTGTCAAGTATGATCCAACCCATAGACGACCCTCGGGAGGGTTTTCAGAAGCAGTAAATAGCATGGAAGGAGTTTGCCTATCTTTCTTCTGCAGGGCAGCTGGTGGGTTGAGAACACAACTCTTTACCACCAAGTCACCAGAACTTCCTATTAGCTATTTACTTGTTTCAATATAAAATATAAATAATAAGCCTGTTGCCATCAAGTTGATTTTGACTCAAAGAGACCTATTGGACAGACTGTATGTAGGGAGAAGTCTTTATGAAAGCAGACTGTCATATTTTTTTCCAGGGCAGGGACTGATAGATTGAAAAGCTTTGTTCCAGTGTTTTTTCTCATTAACTTGAGATGCCATTTTTAGCAAATTTATTTTTATATACGTTGACTTCTTTTTTAACTTATTTTCCATTCATTTGATGTTGTTGTTGGATGTGCCATTGAGTCCTTTGAGACTCAGTGACCCCATGGACAATAGCTCTGAACCCTGTCCTATCCTGAGCCAATCTCACCATGTCTGACACACCTGCCCTTACAGCTCCAGTTACTGTGTCAATCTGTCTCATCCAATGTCTTCTTCCCCAGTGTTGTCCCTCCACTCTTCCAAGTGTGATGTCTTTCTACAAGGACTGGTCCCTTCTGGCAACATTCCCAAAGTATCTTGGTTTCACCTTCTCCAGGAAAGATGTGTTTGTTCTCTTGGCAGTCCATGATATGGTCAATATCCATATCCAGAACCACAGGGTAAAAGCATTTTTTCTTCTACTATCATCCTTAGTCATTGCTCAGCTCTCTGAAGACCATTGTGAAGGCCATTGCCTGGATCAGGTGCACCATAATCACTTCTGTTGTTGTTGTTGTGTACTGTTGAGTCAGATCTGACCCATAGCTGACCATCCAGTGGGTTTTTAGAGGCAGTTAATTGCACAGGAGGAAATTACCCATCCTTGTTCCATGGAGCAGCTGGTGGCCTCGAACCACAGGCCTTCAGGAGTGCAGTTGAGCTTCTTGCCACTAGGCCACCAAAGTTCCCTTTAATCTCTAGTGCCACATTACTTATTTTAACTTTAATAATTTTTTTTAAAACCCTGTTTTATAAGACAAGTGCTCCATTCAGGGCGCTCTAGTGGCCTAATGGTTAAAGAGTTGTGTAACTAACCCAAAGGTGGTGGTGGTTGTTGTTGATGTTGTTGTTGTTGTTGTTATATAACATGGGGTTGCCTTTGACTCATAGAGACTCTATGTACAATAGCCCTGAAACCTGCTCTCTCTACCCTGTGCCAACTTTACTGTTTCTGACACACCCATCCTCATTACCACAGTCACTGAATTAATCCATCTCATCAATAGTTTTTCTCTCTTTCTCAATCCTTCCACCCTTCCAAGTATGATGTCCCTCTCCAAGGACTGGTCCCTCCTTGCAACATGCCCAAAGTATGTCAGACAAAGCTTCAGAATCCTTACCTCCAAGGAACAGCCTGGTTTCACTTTCTTTAGGTCAAACCTGTTCATCCTGGCTGTCCTTTCTTCTATGAACTTTTGTGTTCTTTACTTTTTCAAATATATTAAGAATATTGGTTTCAAACTGGATCCCAAACAAGATATTGGTTTGTACATGTTTAAGAGCTTTTCAATAAATGTCTTCATTTTTTCCAAGTCTGCAATGTTTCCATCTGTAAGTCTTTTTTAGTTCCTACAATTTTAGTTTACTTTTCTGGTCTAATTGTGGTAGCTAGTGTTACCCAAACAATTAAAATTCAAGTAATCACAGTAGATATATCTGGTTCTTAACATTATTGGCAGTATTTCAAGTTATTGTTAAGAATGATACTGGATTTTTATTGAAATAGATACTATTTTGTGTTAAATATAGATCTGTTCCTCTTTTACTTCGAGCCAAAAATGCATGTAGAATTTTAATACATTTATTTAGCATACATAGAGATGAGTGAATTTTTTCCTTAACTCTCCTTAAATCTTAGTTAGGTGTATTAATAAATTTTCTGATATTAAACATGCAGCACTAACCTTTATAATGCTAGAAGAAGCTCCATTTATTCAAGAGCACATTTCTCTTCACATTCCGGATTCATTTCACTCATTTCTTTTGCAGTGCTGATGGCCTAGTGGGTAAGCACTTTCACTGCCAACCTAAGGACAGGCAGTTTGAATCTACCAGCCACTCAAGATGGGCAGTTTCCTCCTGTGTGATTTTATTTCCAACCTCTGGAAACCCACTGGAGAGTCAACTATGAGTCAGTTCTGACTTGATAGAAATTAGTTTGAGGATTTTTAGTTTTTTAATTTTATCGGAGGCTTTTGTGTTACTAAACTACTTGCTCTGTAATTTCCTTCATATTGCATTCTTTGTCAGATTTTGTTTTGAGAATTTTTCCAACTGAATTTAGTTAATACATACAATATCATTGCACTCTATGCCCACAATATAATGGGTCTACCAGTGTGATCATTCTTCACTGCATCTATTCATGCAGCAAAAAGGAATTTCATTGGTGATGTTGTTGAGCTCTACTGGTGTGGTCCTTAGGGACCTGCACTACTATCCCCAAGGCTAAGCCTTTTGTTTTGTCTACTCCACCAGCCACTTGGAGAGGCGAAAGATGAGCAATCTTCTACAGTGAGATTTAGAACCTTAGAAATTCAACAGAGGGGCAGCTGAGAGTCAGTTGCAACTCAGCAGGAATGAGTTAAGCCATTTCCTGAATAAGGTGCACATAAGAATGGATGATAATGATAATTTTCACTCTTTCCCAGATTTAAGGAGAATGCCCTTTAATCCCTTCGAGATAAAAGCTATTGCAGAGATAATGCCAGTTGCATTGTTTCCTGGATATACATTAATTTTTCATCCTCAGAGCATTCGTGTTTTGTTGAATGTTCATATTATTATTTTTCAGTTATGGAGAAAATTCATACGGATGAGCTTCCTCTTACTACGAATTCTTCAGAAAAGCAAGAGACAGTATGCATTTTTGGAACTGGGGATTTTGGAAGATCACTGGGATTTAAACTGCTCCAATGTGGTTATCCTGTTGTTTTTGGAAGTCGAAATCCTCGGATGTCCAGCCTGCTGCCCAAGGGTGCTGAGGTCTTGAGCCATTCAGAAGCAGCCCAAAAATCCGACATCATCATCATAGCAATCCACAGAGAGCATTATGATTTTCTCACAGAATTAACTGAGGTTCTCAATGGGAAAATATTGGTTGACATCAGTAACAACCTCAAAATCAATCAATATCCAGAATCTAATGCAGAACACCTTGCTCAGTTGGTACCTGGAGCCCATGTTGTGAAAGCATTTAACACCATTTCAGCGTGGGCTCTCCAGTCCGGAGCCCTGGATGCAAGCCGACAGGTAAGACTGCATGATGAGTTCACACTCAATCTTTAAAATGTTTGCTTTTCAATCTGGACTTACCTCACATACTACAAAATACAATTCTAGAATAAAGCATCTGTTGTTGTTGTTGTTATATGCTGTCGAGTCACCTGCGACTCAAGCAACCCAATGTACAACAGTCCTAAACCCTGCTCTATCTTGTGCCCATCTTACTGTCTCTGACACACCTATCCCCACTATCCCAGTCACTGAATCAATCCGTCTCATCAAGGGCCTTCCTCCCTTATGCTGTCCCTCCACCCTCCCAAACATGAAGTCCCTCTCTAAGGACTTGTCTCTCCTTGCAACATATCCAAAGTATGTCAGACGATGCTTCAGAATCCTTGCCTCCAAGGAGCAGCCTGGTTTCACCCTCTCTAGCATGAACCTGTTTGCTCGTCGTCTTAACAGTCCACGGTATATTCAATACTATTATCCAGCACCTTAGCTCAAAGGTAACAATTCTCCTTCTATTATCCCTAGTCATTGTCCAGCAATCTGATGCATAGCAAGTGATTGCAAAGACCATGGTCTGTATCAGGAGCACTGTAGTTTCCAGACTGACATCATTGCTCTTCAGTACTTTGGAGCGGTCTCTGAGAGCAGATTTTCCCAACACAATACATCTTTTAATTTCCTGGCTGCTAGTGACACGAGTGTTGATTGTGGAGCCAAGCATCTACTAAACATTTAAGCCTGCTAATATATGTCATTTGTAAGCAGGAGTGGTATCTACTTCTTAAACAATATGCCTCTGGAAACTCTATGAACTTTGAGAAATGACAATAGTCACAGAAAGTTTTCAGGTCTTTTGTTCACAGGGTCACTATGAGTCATGCTCAACTTGACAGCAATCAAAAACAATAACAATATGTGTCGTGAATAATTTCCTTGTAATTAACCAAGTAAGGCAGCCAGTTGTTTCAGGATATGTCACACTGTGTGTGTTCTCACCTTTTATTGGCATCTTGGGATGCCTCCAGTTTGTGCTAGAAATTAATGCAGCTAATTCACTGGCAGGGAACACTGGTGGCCTAGTAGGTGAGGAGTTGTGCGGCCCACCCAAAGGCAGGCAGCTCAAATCCACCAGCTACTCTGTGGAGGAAAGATGAGCAATCTCCCCAAGTGTGATTTACAGCCTTTAAAAACCTGCTGGAGGGTCAGCTATGAGTTGGTTCTAATGCAACCATGCATAACAAGAAGTCATTGGTGGCTATAATTTTCTACTTCCTTTACCTGTTTATAAAACAGGTCCCAGTTATTTCCATTTATATGTAAATATTCCTTAAGTTATATGTACCTCACAAACACAGAAGGAGTTCAACAATTCAAATTGTAGAAACCTAAGTCTTACCATATGAGTATGATGTGCCTAAAACCACTCAACAACACAGTATTCAGCTCTGCACTACACAGACACAATTGTAAACGGTCATCTTAAGTATGTTCATTCTGTATGCTTGTTTGAAAAGCAGATAGATCTTGATTATGTGCTATATTGTTTTGTGTTGCTGTTGTTATGTGCCCTCGAGTTGCCGAGATTCAAGCACCCTACGTACAACAACCCTAAACCCTGCTCTATCCTGTGCCAACCTCATTGTCTCTGATACTCCTACTTCCATTACCCCAGTCACTAAATCAATCCATCTCATAAAGGGTCTTCCTCTCTTGTGCTGTCCCTCCAACCTCCCAAACATGATGTACCTCTCCAAGGATTGTTTTGCATAGTACTTAGAAAAGATTTCCAAAATATTTATTAAGTGAGTAGGTAATAAATACAGAACTCTTCTTTTTAATCCAGGTTTTTGTCTCTGGAAATGACAGCACAGCTAAGCAAAGAGTGATGGATCTTGTTCGTGCTCTTGGACTTACTCCATTGGATCAAGGATCTCTTGTGGCGGCCAAAGAAATTGAAAATTACCCTCTACAACTATTTCCAATGTGGAGGTTCCCTCTCCGCTTGTCTGCTGTGCTGTGCCTCTTCTTATTTCTCTACTGTGTTATAAGAGATGTAATCTACCCTTATGTTTATGAAAAAAAGGATGAAACGTTTCGCCTGGCTGTCTCCATTCCAAACCGCGTCTTTCCAATAGCAGCGCTCACACTGCTTGCCCTGGTTTACCTCCCGGGTGTGATCGCGGCCATTCTGCAGCTGTATCGAGGTACCAAATACCGCCGATTCCCAGCCTGGCTGGACCACTGGATGCTTTGCAGAAAACAGCTTGGCTTAGTAGCGCTGGGCTTTGCCTTCCTTCATGCCATCTACACACTCGTCATTCCCATCCGTTATTACGTACGGTGGAGGTTGAAAAACCTAACCGTCACCCAGGTAAATCTCTATTCATTTTTATTTTCCTTCTTACAACAAAGTAGAATCTTGCTATCTCTTCCAACATATTCAGTTCCAGGATTCTAGAAAATAACTGTTCTCGGCACCCTTGTTTTCTTAAGTAACTAGAATTAGAATCTGTTTCTCTAATGTATCCAGTTAAGCTCTTGTAAAGTTCTTGAGCTAAATCTAACAGTAAAAATTAGATTCCTCCCATACATACCTGGTAGGGGAGAAACCATGATCACAAAGATGAGATCCCAGAGTGAGACTTATCCATTTCACTCCAGATGTGCTGAACCCTGCGATTTCCTCAAGGGTGGGAAACTCAACTGCATAATTTGTGGCAGTGAGGGACTATATTTTGCTTTCCCCTATTAAAAAAAATTAAATAAAAAAAATTAGATACCACAGTTTCTTTTAAGTCCAGATTTAGCTTCCGAGAACTGACCAGGATACTGAAAAATGGATGAATTAGGGCTTAAGGAAACCTAATGATAACTTTGAATTAACTTGAAGTCCTGTGGACAGCAGTCAATAAATGTAAACCAGTGTGTTTCTATTTTTATGAATGCCACTTCTCTTTGGAAGTCAAAACCAATCCCCTTGTAAGTAAGGGGTTGTTCACACAAAGTACCACAGGAATATAAACAATTTCACAAATGGGTGTTTATGAATCCATCCTTTCCCTTGAAAATGTGCATTAATGTTGGACTTGTAGGAAGTTGTCTTCACTAACTAAAAATAAGTTCTGAGAAAATGTCAAGCAGCATCTCTACACAGCCAAAAAATTCAAAAAGTACCAGCCCTGGGACTAATATAACAGAGAGAAAATGTTATAAGGTAGATCTTGTTGAGAAATAGCTAGTTTTGATCCATCTTTCTTCAGCCTTAAAGATTATTGGCCAGTTACTCATTGATGATGTTTCTATGAGCTTCTCTACATTATTTCCCTAACAAGTACATGGGAAATTGAGCACGAATCACCCTGTACGGGCTTGTGCTTCTCCACTTGCACAGATTTGTTGCTCTATTATGACATGATAAATACAAGAGAACTCAAGCTTGATATGTATGAAGAGTCAGCATATAAAGCACTAAACAGGATTCCGATGTAAACACTTGAGAGCATTAAGTCTTGCTCTGGAAACGAAAATTTAAAAAGCCATATGGTAAAGAAAGTTTAAATAAATGTTTACTTTGTTTTAGGATTTATAAGGTAAATTAAATCTTCCAGCACAGCTACTTGAGCCAAGTGTTATAATAAAGTCCCAACAGAGCCAATTACTTTTTCTACCAAAAATATAATTTCTAGGTGTATTTTTTTCTTCAGCTTTTTTTTAAAGGATTATTAAGAAATGCTCTACAATTTGTTTTCCACAAACAAACCACACAAAGGTATTTTCAATTCCCTTAGAAGTACGGGAAGTTTGTAAATGTACTTTTTTTAACTGCTTGTCATTTTCCTTAGGTGATAACCAATAAAGACAGTCCATTCATTCCCTCTTCCGCTTGGCTGAATGATGCATATGTGTCTTTGGGAATCCTTGGATTTTTTCTCTTTGTACTCTTGGGAATCACCTCCTTGCCATCAGTTAGCAACACAGTCAACTGGAGAGAATTCCGATTTGTCCAGGTGAGGACGTAAAGATATTTATCATTTCCACATTGCAAAATGAATGACTTAGAACAGATAGTACATCCCTGGTTTGCACTATACAAACATCCATCCAACTTACAGACAACTCTTACCTGCTTTTAGAGTTAGAAAATATTGTCTAGGAGCTCTAGTGGTACCACAATTAAAGCCATTAGATGCTACTCAAAAGGGTGGTGGTTCAAATCCATGAACTACTCCTTGGAAGCAGCTTCTTACGTAGTTGAAGCAGTCTGCTTCATAAACAATTTACAGCCTTGGAAATCCTACGAGGCAGTTCTGCTTTGTCCTGGAGGGTTATTCTGAGTTGGTATCTCTTTGCTAATAGTGAGTTTGGTTTGTTTTTAAACCATTCTAACACTTTGAAGGATTACATCAACCCCAACTCATAGCAGATCCTGCAGCGCTGCAATGCAGCTTTTAAATGACTGAAGAGGCTCTGACTCTTTTCTGTCACTCACTCACTCACTGTTTGCCATTGAGTCAGAACTAACACTTCGTTGACGTGCTGTGGAAAACCTCACAGCAAGTTACCAGGAGGCTGTAAACTGCACAGGAGATTGCTCATCTTTCTTCCATAGATAGAGCTGCTGGTGGATCCAAGCTTCCAGAGAGGCATCAGCTGTGGGCCAGCAGCGCGGCTCCCTATGGACTATGCCACCAGCGCTCCCTTCTTTCATAAAAGTGAGAGAAAATAAGAAAGAACCTGTTCCATCTTATCTACAATTAGACCTAAAGATATTGTAGGAACAGATCTCATTTGTAGCTGGGGACTGCTTGTACAATCATTTTTCTCTCATATCATGCCCAATTTTTCATTTTCCTCTACTATTTCCCTCAGCAATCCCATTTTTACTAAGACAAGTTCAAATTAGAAAAATATTAAAGTCAGGTTGAAAAGAGGAGGTTCCATAAGGGTTTGATTTCCTAGCAAAGCATCCTGTGCCAAGATGCCTGACTGCTCCTAGACCACAGCCAAGACTTGAGAGTAAAAAGTACCTAGAAAATGTTCATTTTCTATGTGGAGATGGACTTTATGTGAAAAGAAACTTAAAAGACAAAATTTCTACTTCTGAAAGCATGGACATGCTAAAATGGACAGACACATAAAGTCCCAAACCTCCGAAACAATATAGAGTATGCTATCATGCTAGCTTTTTTACTGGTCTGTAAGAAGACATTTTTCCCACATATCACCCACCGAAGGGAATTGATTGGCACTCTTACTCCATGATACACAGCAACAATCAACCAGCAAGCACCTCATTAAAGGTTTCTTTTTCTTGTGTGTCATCAAGTCAGAAACGACTCATAGCTGACTCAGGCAGATTTTCAGAGGTGTTAAATCGCATGGAAGGAAATTTTTCATTCTTACCACCACCACTGTCACCACTACCAAGCATCTGGTGGATTTGAAACGAGTGCCTTTGGGATTGCAGCATAGTGTCTTACCTCTAGGTCACAAGAAATCCTTTTGTTAAGTGTAGTTACTAACAATATGACAGATCTGTGCTTCCCAAAGTGTGGTCCCTGGAACCTGCATCAGCAGCAACTGGGAGTTCGTTAGATTCTCGAATCCTTAAACCCCCACACCAGTCCTACTCAATCAGAAACTGGAGGTGAGGCCCAAGAGTCCATTTAAACAAGTTCTCCAAGTGATTCTAATGTATGCTCAATGCAAATTAGTGCAATGAGAGAGCCTATTAGTAATCGGAACTGGGTTTGAATTGTATAGAACTATTTGAATTTCAAGTCTTATAGGTTCTGCTAGGGGCCAAATGCAGTCAATATTTTCTGAAGTGAACACCTTTCTTCAAGACATTAAGACAGAAATGAGCATTGAGCTTTAGAAAGTAGAGGGAAAGTCAAGTTTGCTAATTGTTCTTTACTGCTGTAGAAATTAGCTAACATCTGCTTAAAGTCAGTAACATATACAAATGAGATGCTTCTTGAAAGCATAGTGTGTCTTATTAACCTCTGCCCTCTTGAAAACACCATTTGGAGAGGAAGGCAAGGCACGTTACTTATGCAAACTCAAGAGACCCTCCTCGAAAATTCTTCTATCCAGTAAAGTTACAATAAAGTCATCATGTATTTTGGAAACAATAATTTTTTTTTCTTAATGAAATCTTTATTATCCTCAAAGTGGGTTAATGCTTTTATCAGTGTCTCTAATATTTGCAGTGGCTCAAAAATACCCTCCAAGTGCTAGAGTGTTTCCATGACCAACATTGATAACAAATTTACTTTGTTTTCTCCTTTACCTTATAGTCCAAACTGGGTTATCTGACCCTGATCTTGTGCACAGCTCACACACTGGTGTATGGAGGGAAGAAATTCCTGAACCCTTCGTTTCTCAGATGGTGCCTTCCTTCGGCCTACGTGTTAGCTCTCATCATCCCTTGCACCGTGCTGGTGATCAAGTTCATCCTCATCATGCCGTGTATAGACAAGACCCTTACAAGGATCCGCCAAGGATGGGAAAGAAACCCGAAAATTTCATCAGCATTGAATGGAAAAACAGATATTTAATGCAAATTTCAATTTCTCCAGATTTCTGAACTATTGCATGAAATGTTTAGAGAATAATGGGTACAGTTTGGGATGCTTTCTTCTCCCACTGTGGTCTGAAATCTGTGAACAGAGAAGGAAACTTTACCCTGAGGTGAGAAATCTGCAAGTAGAAAGAGAGCCAAAACCCAAACCCACTGGCATTGAGTGGATTCTGACTCCTGGCAAACTTGTAGGACAGAATAGAACTGCCCTGTAAGGTTCCCAAGGCTGTCGGCCTTCATAGATGCCAACGACCCTCTTTCTCCAGCAAAGCAGCTGGTCTGCTCAATCCATGGACCTCTTGGCTAGCAGATAAGTTTCTAACCACTGTGCCAGCAGGGCTCGGTACAAAGAGAACGCTAGGCTTTACCTCAAGTTAGTAGTGAAGGAATCCATACAGGTCCTTAGCTTTATTTACTTGAAGTTTAGAGAAAGTTTGAGGTTAAATTGCCTCTTGTGGTTTCATACTAAGAGCTTTCTTTGTTGTGTGTAGCTTGCATGACCCAATGTCTTGCAAAATCTAGGAGAATGATATGTAATTTCCTCCTCTGGCTTGAGAACAGAGGGAAGTGAAAGACAAATCGGTAAGATATTGGCCACTTAGGTTAAAGGCTTATTCCTGTAGATCTGAAGAAGAAAAGCAAATTCAGAAAAAGCAATGATGTTTGTTTGGTTTGGGGAAAATAAAGTTGATGTTAAATATTGCAGTAATAAATTCAGTAGTTAAATGTACTCCTTGGTTTTTCTTTCCCTAAGTATAGATGTATACTCTGAGGAACTATAACTAAAAAAAAAAAAATCCACAATTGCTTGAGAGTATGCATGACTTGGCTAGATACTAATCTATAAAGTTGGCATACTAACTGTTCCTGTCAAAGGAACAGTTATAATAAAATGGATAAAAGTGAGAGAATATCAAATGCATTTTTTAATGTAAAATAAAGATGAAAAGTTGATAAAATTTCTTGCATAAAGAGTTCAAATAACCTAGAATTTATTTAAACAGTTATGCATAAATTATCTTGCACACACAAAAAAACAAACAAAAACACCTTCAGATAACCACATGATAAGCCCAACAAATTTTGTGAAATCATACAATATTAGGTTTGGTATTACTTCTTAGGTTTTTGCTTCAGTGTGTTTTAGAAAACATATATTCCAAATATTCTTTAATATTAACCAATGAATGTATTTCTTGTATTAAAAATACCATTTTTCCCAAGTATATTATGACTTTAAGTAGTGAAATAAAATGTATAAGCTGACAGTATAAATATTACCCTGCACAGATGAGAAAGAGCTATGGAAAGCTCAAGGACAAAAAAAGGTGTTTGCAGTAATTAGAAGACTTGGTTCTTTCTCAAATCCTTGCTGGAATACAGAGCAGAATACTTCTCACTGTGACTGTGATGAAATGCCCTTTCTAAGATGACCTTCAGCAGCTTAACCTTCCCAGCTCAAGCATTGAGTGAGCTGCCGCTTTCTGTACCATCTTCCCATAGACCAAAATAGCTGACAGGCATAAGGTTGACATTTTTCAGTCCACTTTACAAAAGTCATTTATTTTTTCTTTTTTCTTTGTTTCGCATTTACTAGCTTATGTATCACATGACATAAAACATAATATTCAAGATATATTTTCTGCAATCTAGGATTTTTTTTTTTCAGAAAATCATTTAAAGTTATTTTTATCCATACTATATATTCCATTATATATCCATTTTTTACAATTCATTTTTATAAATGCACTTCACACTTAACATATTGGTAGTTTTATTGTCCTATTTACACAGTATATAATAAATACCTGCATAAAATTAATCAAACAAGCATTTTTAACCACTTCTTTAATTAAACTATTGGCTAGATCTCTTTTTCATTTTCTTTTATAAAAATAAGTAACATTGTAGAGACGTTCTTCACATATAGCAGGAGCTCAAGTGGCCTCTGTCCATTGGCAGCTGCGCCATGACTTTCAGGCTGTTCTAACACACCAGCCGCTCCAAGGGCGAAAGATGTGCCACCTCCTCCTGTGTGACTGACAGTCTGCAAAACCCAACGGAGGGTCAGCTATGAGCTGGTTCTGACTCTATGACAATGAGTTTGGGGTTGTTTTGGGTTTTTCTTATAGCAAAAACCTGAAATACTTTAGTCCCTCGGAATAGCTGGCAAGAACTAGCTCTACAAAACACACTTTTTTCAAGTATTTAATCGATATTTCCAATTTATTTCTAAGCTGATTATATTAATACCATTAGACATGCATAAGGGTGTTTGTCTTATCACACTTTTATAATTTTTTAAATCTTAGTTTGGGTTCATTTATAAATAGATGAGGAAGGACATATAACATATATGCTCCGTATCTTTGACCTAACCCAAGCAAGAACACAAAATAATCCGACCGTGAGTCGAGCTGTCTTGTGTGGTACTGACTTCTAGAACATCAGAAGGGAAACATGGGGGATATGTGAAAATATTACTACTTAATCATCCACTCCATTTCAGGCGAAAGAACCAGTAATTTTCTAGTTGGAGCCTATACTTTGGCTAGAAGGCTGGTTGGTTGATTCAGTTACTTATTCTCTAGGCGGACCTGGAGATAGCCTTTGAAGTAAACCATGCTCTTCTTAGTAAAAGAGTACTACTATGTTTTGACTTGGTCATAGTTCATTCCAAAAATTAGATAGTTTACCTATAACAAATGAGATTCTACATTATAACTAGTGAAAATACTTTAACAACAACAACAAAAAAGGGCCATCACATTAGTTCTCACCCAAAACTAAACCCAAGGTCAAACCTCCTGCCCTCCAGTCAATTGTGAAGCTGTAAATCTTTATGGAAGGGATTTCTTCTCTAGGGTGACTGGTAGTTCCAAAAAGAACTTACCTTTTGGTTGGCAAACCAGCACCAGACACACTACTTACTCTAAAAATGCTCTAATTTTAATAAGAACCACCTCACAAACTTTAATAATTTGCTCTAAATTTTAATAAGATTTAAAATTTGCTCTAATTTTAGGAAGAACCACTTTGCAAATTTGATATGAAAGTGTACCCCTAGCGGTGCTGACCTAACAGTTACCTTATCAACTTGAAAGGGTTCCCAGTTTCAGCTGATCAGAGGGCCACTTCCCTCCTTCCAACCTTCCTAACAAATCACCCTTTCGCCATGGCCCTCAAAGCAATCTGACCATTTTAACACAGATGACTCCTGTAGTTTATATAAGGAAGAAAGAGTGAGTTTGGAACAGATCAGAAAAGAATATTTTCAGCTTACCCTATTACTTACATAAAGTCTAAACTCTTTTACATGAAAAAGTTAAAATTATTTACCCTTTGGTATGTTTCTTATATTCCAGAAAATATGTATTAGGCTCAGAGCCTTTTTGTTTTGTATGTTGCTCCTATGTTAAAGAGTACTGCTTTTACAAATAATTACTCATTAAAAAATATTTTAAAAATATTTTCTAGTTCTGTTTAATTTGGTTTTGACTCACTAATTTTCCAAAGTGTGACTAAAAGGTTTTGAATCACAGTATTTATAGCATCTGGGACTAAAAGTACACCTTTTCTGGGAGAAGGAAAAGGAAAAGCAGTAGGTGAGTATGATAGCAGATGAACCTTGAAAATAATGAGAAAAACAATTGGATACAAAAAAAGCAGGTGTTGTATAACCTCACTTGTACAAAAATATCTAAAGCTGGTAACTAAATCTATAAAGATTAATGTTCCTTACCAGTCATCAGGGGCTCCTTAAGGATGATGAAACTGAACATCTCATATATTTGGGGCATGTTGTCAGGGGAAACCAGTCTCTGGGAAAAGATCTCATGCTGAGAAACATAGAGAAAGAGAGGATGGCCCTTAATAAGATAGACTGACACAACAGTGACTGGGTCATCGGGCTCGAGCATATCAGAGTACATGAAGATGATGCAGGAAAGGGCAAGGTTCCGATCTGTTGTGCAGTCAACTCAAGGGCACTTGGCAACTGCAAGACCACAGAGTTACTGCTTATGGGACTGAGCTTCTGTTAAGGGTGATGAAAACACTGGATCAATACTACTCACCCATGATGATTTACAGAACTAGAAAAAGGCTTTCTTTTCTCCAGACAAATGCTACCTGACCGGGCCAAATGGCTTGGAAGTGGACTTTCAGTTGGATTTGGTCATCCTGATGAGACGCCTAACAATTTGCACAGTCTTATGACTGCAGCCCTGGGGGTGGGAGGGAGCAGGGGAGTGCTTATCATAATTACACACCAAACGAAAAACTGACCAAGAGAGGCAACCTGGAATAAGCAGAAGGAAATGGTAAGCCCCCACTCAGAACATTCTTTAGTTAGAAATTCTCTCCCCCTCTGCCTCTTTCTCTCCCTTATCTCCCTCTCTCCCTTCCCCTATCCTTTCTCTCTTTCCGTCTGCCTCTCCCTCTCTCTTTCTATCGCCCTCTCCCTCTCCCTCTCTCTTTCTATCTCTGTCTCTCCCTCTCTCTCTCCAGTTCAAACAAGAGGGCCAGATCAAAAGAACACACACTCCAAGCAAGCCAAATAACCATCGATTCTTGTAAGAGGCCCATTTTTTTCTGTACCCTGTGCTACTTCTGCAGGCCGAGCTTTATCCTTTCTTGTCTCTCCTATTTGGTCTGATTCAAGGGAGAAGGACTAAAGCAGGCCAAAACCAGGGATTCAGCCACCCTTGCAGTAACCTCACAGTAACACCGTCACCACCACTACCCACCACAACCACCATGCCAATGTGCACACACGCACACACATCTTCATAAGATCTTATTCCAACTTTCTACGATGAGTACTACTGTATAGAAAAATCTCCACCCTTCTAAATATTTGAGCTCTGAGTATAGTTGAAACAGTACAGTGCTAGACCAAAGAATAATTTGAATCTATTAACAGCTCCATGGAAGAAACCCTATCTTCCTTCATATGATTTACAACCACAGAAATTAATGAAAGGACCATCAGTTTATGAAGTCTCAGACTGGAAGAAGTAAGAAAACAGTCAATGAGGGAGATGATATATCAAAGGTGAGTATATTTAG